TTCTACTGCCTTTTTTATTTATTAAGAATCTACGTTAAAAGCCCAAAATACCCTTAATTTATTTCAAAAATATTTAAATTTAATCAAATACTTCAATAAAAATGTATTCCGTTCCCATTTTATTAAATTTAAACATCACAGAAGTGATTCAGGAACTTCTCCGTGTTGCTTTTTTATTATATAATTTCGCATACCAAATTTAATTTCGTCATTATTTTTGGTATCAGGAGAACATAAATCGCGAGTACGAAAAAGCGGCAATTATTAGTAACATATTTGGCCATTAGTGGCAGCACCTCCTGGGTCAACTACTATATTCAACGTTGCCACGAACGTTAAAATTAAAGTAAATCGACCACCTTTAAATTTAATGAATAGCATTTTTAATTAATAATATGCCTTAATTATCTATGAAAATCAAAGTGAAGCCATAATTAATCATAAGCAATAAAAGTTTCAAACTTATTATACTGTGAATTAAGTATCTGTTGTTTCGAGAAAATGTAGATTGAAATTTGACAATATTGCAATCGTTATCAATCGTACATAACCTACAAAATACAAGGTGAGAAAGCACTTAAATAAATAACGATTTTTTGAAAATATTCAAATTTATACCTAATAAAACAGTAAAATGACAAAACCAAATCCCCTTTCTGCATTTTTCAAAAGTCTGTACCGTGATGAGTTCAAATGGTAAGTGATATATGTCAGCACCCTGAATGGGCTTCTTAAAAGTTTTTTCTTTTCTAGGTCTCTAATAAAAAGCATTGGATTATTTGCTCTAGGAATAAGAATAGCTCAAGAATGTGCTGGCATGGAACTATTACCAAACCAATAATTCGTTCATTTCATTTGTTATAAAAGTAGCATCTGAATCTGATATACTTAGGTTATGTTAATTAAATTTCAATAAATGTGAATTTTCCTTTAAACTGTATTATCTGTGTTAAATGTCGTATAGTTTCGTTTAGTGAAGTGTCTTTTTGATAATGTTTATCACATTATTCCTGTTGCTATTAAAAACAATTAGTGGGAACACAAGTTTAAGTGCTAACGTAATACTAATAATAACAGATGATCAAGATGTACTATTAAATGGTTTGGTCAGTAGCTAAATCTAACATGTTATGCTAGAAACAGACTAAAACATACCTTTTCAGAAACCCATGTCAAAGACTGTGAAGCTACTTGGAAATAAAGGAGTTATTTTTGAAAATGCTGTAAGATTTTGTAAGACCCTGTTGTTTTAGTTTCTGAATATTTTGCTTTAGTATACAAATTCGCCTATCTGTTGTCCAAGTAGGAGCACCATTTTAACAGGAAAATACTTACACAATACCGGAGTTGTTAATAATTCACTGTCAGGGAACTGCTCAAGTGTTTTGTGGCAAAAAATGCATGAGCCCCATTCAGTGGCTCCCATTTTAAAAAAACACAAAGAATATGTCACTTTTTATTCTGGCAAATATTTAAATCAGGTCGGTAAGGTGTTAACAATTCAGTTAGAATAAATTATGTTAATTATTTATACATACAGTATGGCCATAAATCTGCAGGGGGTACAAGACATGTTCCTGAAGGATACGATTGGTGGATTGGCCTAAAAGGGAATTCTATCTATTACAATTATACTTTGTCAGTTAATGGCACAGCAAAGTACTTTAATGATGAATATTTAACAGATATTTTGGTAAATTTCCTTTTTTGCTTTTATTTTCTCTTTAAGGCGATTGTCAATGAAATATGGTTGAGTTTGGTTGTTTTATTTCAGAAAGAATATTCTTTAGACTTTCTAAATCAAAAATTTATCACCCAAACTCCGTTTTTTATGACGATAGCAACGCCAGCTCCCCACCAGCCATTTACCCCTGCAAACAGGCACAAGAAAAGTTTCCCTGGAACAAAAGTAATTCATACACCGTCATTTAATTTCTCATCAAAAGGGGTAAATAATAAACCAGAATTTGTGATTTTATTTAATTAAATAATTTTAGAAACACTGGATCGTTGGAATGCCCCCAAAAACATTACCTGAGGATGTATCTGAACTAGACAAATTCCAAAAATTACGAATGCAAAGTCTTTTAGCTGTAGACGAACTTGTAGAAAGTATTATTTACAAATTAGAAACCTTAAATTTGCTAAAGAGTACTTTTTTAATTTTTACATCAGATAATGGTTACCATTTAGGTGATTTTTTGCGTTTTTAGGGATAAAATACCCTTAATACAATAATTCTTTGATTTCAGGTCAATTTACTCAACCTTATGATAAAAGACAGCCTTATGAAACTGATATAAAAATCCCATTGATGATAAGGGGGCCCAAAATTAAAAAGAAAAGCATATTTAAAAGACCAGTTTCTTTAGTTGACTTGGCTCCAACTATTTTGGAAATGGCAAATATTAAAGGAACTGATTACCAATACCAAATGGATGGAAAATCGTTTTTGAAAAATATCAAAAAGTTTGGGGAACCCTCAGAAAATGATAAAGTTTTTGTGGAATACTTTGGAGAAACGAATGAAAGGGAATTTCATGAAGAATGTGACTTTATAACAGATCCTGATGTTTCTGTAAGTCTTTTTTTCATTTAATATTATATATAAAAAAAATATGAGTGCTATCAGCACAGGCCAAAAAAGTATTACGTAAATGAAAGTTAGTATCAGCATGTTATGCTGAAGTGTACGATGTGTTGCATACTTATTTACAAACAATTCCTTTAAATTTTAATCATTGATTACTATACATCTATTAAAAAACCATAATGGGCGACATCAGTAACAATGCGACAACAATTGAAAACGAATGATGGCCGACAACTTCAACAATTAAAAAAATGATGGCCGACTACTGCAACAATTAGAAAAGAATGATGGCCGACAACTGCAACAATTAGAAAAGAATGATGGCCGACACTACGTCATAGTAGTGCAATAAAAATGGCCGGGGGAGGGGAAGAACTAGTATTTAATAATATAAGTTTTTTTAACATTAAATAGAAGTTATTGGTACAGAAATTATCAAGCAGCACTCTTAATATTTCTGCTAGAAGATTAATATCTAATATAGATCTTTTTTATTATTATAACTAAAATTTATTGTATATAAAATATTGGTAATTCAAGAAACAATTATTTCTTTTTAAGCACTGTACTCAAGATGCTTGGTGTAAATGCAGTGATTCAAAGAATAACACTTTTACCTGCGTGATAACCTTTTTAAATAACAAAAGCATCAAATTCTGCAAATTTCAGGACAACCAGGTAAGTAACACGATTCGGTCATTTTAAGACAACTCCTTAATAATTTTTAATATGCTTTACAGAACTTTACCGAAGTTTATGACTTAAAAACCGACCCCTACGAATTGCATAATATTTTTGAGAACTTTAATAAGTCTTTAAGAAAATATTATGAAGAATTGTTGGAAACTTTCAAGAATTGCAAGGGAAATCAGTGCAATTTTTAAGTTATACATTGAAATAAAAAAATGTTCAAGAGTTGTAATATTTTTATTTTATTTAACATACCCTTCATATAAATAAAAAAGCTAAATGTCTAACAAATATCACTTTCATTTTTAACAAAAAAAAGCTTATCCTACATCTGTGTGCACTGATCTTTCGCCATTTGTTCGTTAAAGGGGGGTAAACAGTCTACTTGCACATTTTCTATAAGTTCCTTAGGAGGTTGTCCATAATCTTGCAACTAAAAATAAGATATAAATTACCACAAAAATGTCTTTTCAATCTAATAAACTTACCTTTTGCATAAGTGTTAAAACTTTTTCAAATCTTTGTTTTTTTTGCTCATCTGTATCAGTCTCCTTTTCTTTCTCTAATTCATTACAAACTTCTTTCATGACTTCCTGCTGTTTTTCATACTTCTCTACTTGCTCTGTTGGCAATGATCCCCCATTTGCTGAGAGCCACAAAGGGTATTTCTCCATGAGATCCTATAAAAGCTGATAATAATAAAAACAAACTATTACCATACCAACTATTACTTTTAAACTGGGATAAAGGACTTCCTTAGACAAGAGAGTTTGCATCATGTCTTGCATGAAAGGTAAAAAGGCATTTTCATCGCCACTTTGACCACCAAACATGTTTAATAAGTCTTGTTCAGAGAATGGGTTACGCAAGTTTTCTGTGCCTTGTGACAAGTCTTGTAATGTCTGTGATATTGTGGTTGATAAACTAGAATTAGGTGCTGGTGCTGCCTGACTAGGATTTGTCGCAATTTGAGCTGCTGCTTCTGATAATAGATAATAAAAGTTCACTGACGTAACACCACTTCAAAAAGACAATTTATTTACCTGCCATTCTCTGAAAACTTTGCTGTAAACCTTCTGGTGTTACCTGTACACCGTTCGTTTCTAACAATTTTGCAATGTTAGACTCAAATTGTGCAGCAGCCTGCTTAATAAACTCATCAGACCATTCGGCATCCTCAGAAACTTCAATATTTCCATCTTCCACTGTTACTGCTTCTGACTTATTTTCAAGCTCTGTTTTACTATTGCTAGACGGTGCTTTAGAGAAGTCCTGCAAGGCACCTAAAATAACAATCTATTACATAATTATCCAGGATTAAATTAGACTTACACATACTGTCCAAAAGTTCTGATAATTCCTTATCATCCTCTTCTGTGGCTTTCTTGTTAACATCTTTAGCTTCTTCTGACATTTTTAACGTTTAATTAAAGAATCTAACTAATTATTCAAGCTAATTTATTTATTTTATCATATGAACAACGTAGACGACGTAACGAGGTTAGGTAACATTTAAATGAACAAGAAGAAGAAAAATTGGGAGTTGTATTCGCCTTTATGATACGTAAGTAATCGCAAAATAAAACCTAACTGAAACTGATCTTGTAAATATGAATTAAAAACAGTATAAATACTATAAAATGCTATTTAGTATGCTCTTTACTGTTTAAATGTGTATAAAAACCTAAATAACTGTAATTTCTCATATATTATTACCAACAAGACTTCACCTATTCAACAAAAAAATTACCTAATTTCAACACAAAATAGGGCTTTTATTTTTATTTAAATGAAACATTTATTTGTGTAATTAGATGCCATTTTATTCATTTTACTAAAATTTCCTAAGCTATGAGTATAAATATAGAAATGATGGTCTTTTTAATACTGTTACTTAATCTAGTTAACAATAACTTAAAAAACTAAAATTAATCTTAGCACAAAACAAAATGTTTACAAACAATAAAAAATTGAGGTCTAAAATAACAATAAATATGTATATACATGTGCAAAACCAACAAAATATATGGCAACAAACCAAATTAAAATTTCAAAAATTATTGCAATTATCATACTTTTTCTTATTTCTTTAAAAGAATTTGGTAAACAAATAAAATTGAGATAAAAATAAATAAACCACACTACGTAGATTTCGAAGGCACTTTCTGATACTTTTCCATTTGCATAAGGACAATTTCATCAGATCTTTCAGAATCAGATTCAGTCTCATCGTCGTCGTTATCATAATATGGTCTTGTAATAAACTTAGTAGCATCTTAAAAAAAATAAATAATCAACTTCAGGACAATTTTTGTATTCCTAACCTGATAAGAACGTCTTTGACTGATTATTACTTAAAAAGTAGTTAATATTAAAAGAAACCTTTAAAAGGGGCGGTGAAAAGATCCGTTTCCTTGGTCTCATCCATATCCCTAAAGTCATCATACATCTCCTGAGACAACAGCCCATACTCCTTATCTCTTCGATTCTTGCACATGGTGTAACAGACAAAAACAACACCCATTATAAACAACCCTGCCATTCCTGTAATTCAACAAATCCAACATACGGGTGATAGCAAATATCTAATAATATAATAATAATAATAATAAATTACTCACCTGCAATTATAATGAAAGCGAGCCGAGGCAGTCCAGCAACTGTGGTGTCCCTTTCCATAGAGATCATTAACATTTTAGGGGGTAAATTTAGTTCCAGCGGAGGTAACTCCGTATATTTTACATTTGGTAGATACCCTGAGGCTTGCACTTTAACTGTGTACTTCCCCGGTTGTAAAGTAACCGAATATTTCCCGTTGCCGTCAGTATAAACTGTTGTATTCGTTTCGACAATTGTTAATTCCGCTTTTGCTATTGGACGATTTAGTGAATCTCTTACATATCCTGTAAAAGTACCCGTTTTACTTATTTGTGATATATTACACGGATGAAATTAAATTGTAACATTAATAATTTTCTTACCAATTATTCCTGTACTTTCGAGTCCTTTATCTAGTGGTTCATGGCTCTCACCTTCGGCTACCACCTGTTGCTGTTTCCTATGCTCTTGCCCTTGCTGTTTATCATGGTCCCTGTCTGCTGAATCTGAAATCTCGTTTAAAACGACCCTCACAAAGAGAAGACTGTTTTCGTTAACGGAAACGTCAATGTGGCTTGTTTGGTAATTGTGGCAGCTGACCTCGACCCTGTACTGACCCGGTGGCAACATAATCTTGAAATGCGCCAAATTCTTCGTCACCTCGAACATTTTTCGTAAACCCTCCACTTTAACGGTAGCATTGTGCATAGGTTTTTGACTTCTATCCAGTACATAGCCCTGAATACCTGATTATAAAATAATCTTTTTTATCTTCAAATTATTATTCTTCTTGACTTTTTTCTTAAGCAGAATGTTTACAAACCTGTTCGAATGTTCGCCAAAAATGCCATGACCGGATCCACTGTGCGTCTCCAAATATAAGGGATGTTTTCTACAGCAGGGTATTCGCAGCAGTCGACATTTGCAGTAAAAACTGGTACATCGTATTCGTTGTAAATAAAATCGGTCAGAACGGCATCAGTGCCCGTCACCACTCTGTTGCAATCTTTTTTAGACTTTAATGCGTTCACAAACTTCTCCGCAAATTTTTTGAATAAATCTAGGGGTTGGTTACTAGTCGGATACCTTTACAAATTCACAAAATAATTACTGTTAGAACCCCCGTAAGTGGTTAACTCCTAAGGGAGCCTAAATACATACCATAACTTATACAAAACATTACTTACGTTATACCTAGTCGACCCCCTTCGATATTAAGCACCAAATCGAACCTTTCTTCGAGTAACAAATGTTTAAAAGCGTTCGCAGTCTGTTGAATTTTGTTGGCCCTATTGCCCATTTTCAGTATCTGATCTCCGACTTGTCTGAAGTCGGCCGTGATATTGTTACACACTTCGGTTTCCGGTTCGACGCCCCCAACGTCAAATTTCAAGTATTCGCCCCAAATCTTCTCGAATTCCTTATCGATAACGGGCACGACATAAATAACCGAATTCTCAAGGATATGGACGATCGTGGGATCTTGGTAATGGTACCCTTGCAATAGATGGCGGGCCATATTCAGGGACAATTCGCGTCCCAGGGGCTGAGTGGCATACAGGTTGCCGATTATAGCTAAACGGTACTTTGTCTCGTCCGACGTCTCTATCTAAAATAGAGATAATAAATGCAATAAAAAATAGAGAATTTATATCATAAACTATGTGTGTTACATAAGAAGGGAGTCGGGACACTGGGTACAGGAATGGGAACATAACTGGAAAAAAAATGAAAAGTGCAATATAATAATAAATTATCCCTTTAGTAAATAGTAACAAATACCTTGTCTGTGATTTTCAAGGACCTTATTGACATAGAAACAAAGTTGTCTCCAGCATCAAACGATGCAGAGGAGGGATATTTGTTCTCCAGGTCGGCCATGACAGCGTAAATTTCGTTATTGAAATGATAACGAGGGTTGTACTGATTTTCTTGAATACCAAAGTCATACGCGCTCGCCCAATGCAAAGGGTCGTCCCTCATTAACGAAATTTTAAGATGAAGAGACCCTGAAGGGGGTATAACGATTTCCTGGGTAAACGTTTCGAACCTTCAAACGAAAATAAAATAAAATTAAAATAATTGTGAAAAGAAAAAGTAATGTATACATGTAAAGACGAAACAGAAGTCAAAAAAGAATGAAGCAAAACGAAAATTTTACTTTTGAGAACATCAAAGTCCTTTAATAAAATGAATTACCAAGAATAAGTTACCAAGAAAAATAATTAATAATTCGCATTAACATATTATTATGTATCTTTTATAATGTCTAACAAAGAGAATTATTAAATACATTGTACAAGATGAACAAAAGTACAAACGAAACACATTTCTACATTGCAAAAGGAACAATTGAATAAGGGATTCATTTTTAGGATTTTCGAAAATTTTCACTTTATAAAATTAGTTACCCTTTCGCACTGACAGTCAAATTGTACTTTCCCGGCAATAGGATCCGCCAATAGTCTCCATCTTTGGCACTTCGAACAACGAAGTCTATTCCTTCAACCCTTATTTCTGCATTGGGTATCGGGTGCCCTATCGTACTCGACACAAACCCTTTAACGCCCTTGTGAACCTACACGTGCCGTGCCGAAGAAAAGAAAACAAAAACGTACTCGAACATTAAAAAAAAGCAAACGAAAACAAAACATAAAAAGCAATAAAAACAATAAAAAATAAAAAACTTATAATAAAAGAATACCTGTTCAATGTATGTCAAAAGGGCTTCCCTGTTGTCCATCCAATATTGGGGCAAAGTACTCGCATAAGGGAATTTGTCACAGCCTAACTCCAATGTGATCTCCATGCAACCAGCAAAAACGTAATTCCAGTCTTGCATCCCTCCTGTGACCGTGTACCACTCATTCCCATTAGTTATACCCTCCTTAAAATGTTCCTTAGGGAACTGAGGGCACGCAACACCATTGTGCATGGTTCTATGAGCCTACAGAATTTAAACGATCACATAAAATTTATTAAAAAAGAAAAGACAATTTTGGTATTACATTTGAATAAACGCTTGCAAGATATCGAAAGACGGCGTCATCTGGGGAGGGACTTGCTTTTCCCCATCGGCCATCATCGAACGGGTAGTTGGCAACTAGGGCACCGTTGTGCAAGTTGGCAGACAGTACAAAAGGTTCCGACAAAATCCACTTCATCACGGCTTTCGTTTCCGGTTCAGTGATCCGATTATACTGAAATTAAAGCAATAAAAACAAAGCCACAAAGCAGACTCCCTGTGGCCACAATAGCAAACTGTGGGCAATAACCCAATTAATCGATTTCTCACCTCGTTCACGCCCAATCGATCCGGAAAGTTCCGGTTCAAGTCTACGCCGTGGGCATTGGCTCGACCTACACCGCTGCTAAGATCACCTGAAATTAAATGTCCCAACAATAGTTATTCTGAAATATAGACGATCCCTTATTAATGTTTTTGGTAACTTATTAGTCAGAGACAGGAAAGAGTGGAGGTGTGTGTCCAACCAGTCTTAGGACTGACGACCTTATAATGATGATTAGTAGAGTAAAAATTGTTTTCATACCTTCATGAGCCATTTCATATCCATCTGGATTCATACTGGGCATAATATGGATCCTTGTGGTATCCAACATCTTTGTAACTCGTTGATCCGTCCCATAATTTTCGCAAAGGTACTTAATAAGCAAAAGAAGTAATTCTCGACCTACGACCTCGTTACCATGCATATTGGCAACAAATTTAAATTCCGGCTTTCCTATTAATGACATAATACGTATATAGTCCAATAAATGATAAGATATGAGACAATTAAATTAACAGTCAGCGCGAAAAATAGGAACAAGATCATACCTGGCACATGTTCAAATGGTGTACTGCTTACAGTCATAACATACAGTTCTCTGCCTTGCACTGACTGACCAACACTTTTCAAAAACGTAATGTTGGGGTAAGTTTCATTCATTTCTTGCAAAAATTTTTCCAACTCTTTGTAATTGTGATGCTTGAATTCAGGCTTCATTACAAATCCATACTCGTCAGTTAATGGACTTGAAATGTTTTTAAGATTCTGATAATTCCCTACAACAATTGTTTAGAATAATAGTATTAATTGTATAAATATTATAGATATGGGAAACATGTTACCTGCTTGAGAAACTTCCCTTTTTAGCTTAAAATTCTGAAGGGTTGCCCCGTTCTGTCCAACCTTAACCGTAGCAACTTCAGAGGGTAGAAAACTAAGAAAAATCATGTTAAAAAAAGTTAATAATATTTTACGGAACTTACCCATAAGCCACCACATAAATTTCATATTCTCCAGGTACCAAAAGCCTCCAATATTCTCCTTTATTCGAAGTAGTGACGTTATGCCCCACACCTTTCACCACAACGTCAGCTCTTACAATAGGTGTCCCATCCTCGTCCGTAACAAGCCCTTTAACCCCCCAATGACTACTTTCTATAAAGGAAAGCAATGATTCTTTATTTCTCTGCCACTCATCCCTTAAAGTGTTTGCATAGGGATATTTACAACAACTTAATTCGAACGTTATTTCAAAACAGTTTGAATGAAGGTAGTTAAAGTCCTGCATTCCCCCTAGAACATTAATAAAAGCAGGTATTAATGTTGCAAAAACGTTTTCATTTATTTATTTACCATGGACATCGTACCAGTAGGCCCCATTTGTAGTACCATCATGAAATGTGTCATCAGGGCATGCAGTACCACTGTGCATGAGGGGGTTCGCTTTTGCATAGACAGAAGCCAATGATTTAAAAAGGCTATTGTCTGGGGTCAGGCTCTCTACACAACATGTCACATTTCCACTGCAAAATTATTTTTTACATTTTTAATTAAATTAAACTCCTTCAACTTACTCAGCATCATCATATGGATAACTGGCCACAACTGAACCCCCATGTAAATTACCAGACAAAACAAATGGTTGGGAGACAATCCAGGACATCAAAGCCACTGTTTCAGGCTGTTTATCTTTTATAAGTGACCCTATAAAAAGCCATGTAAATAGTAAATTTACCCATAAGGGTCATAACAAGTACTACAACTTTTTTATACGTTTTGTTTATAATTATTAAAAACAAAAAGAGTGCAAATTCATCAGACATAAGATACCTTCCTCCACAATTTTTAATACCTGATTTAACAACTGGATCAAACTGATCTGGAAAGTCCCTGTTTAAGTCAATGTTATTGGCATTTTGTCGACCAGAAAAATCACTTTTAGATTCACACTTTCCTTCCTATAAAATGATTTCTGAGATGTAATTTGTACCCCTTTAATTATTGAAAACAAACATACCTCAGAGGCTTCAAAACCATCAGGATTCATAGAGGGCATTAAAAAAATGTCTGTAGAGTCAACTAATTTCGTTATTCTATTATCATTGCCATAATTAATTAATAAATATTGGGCCAAATAAATCATCAGTTGTCGCCCCACAGCCTCATCACCATGCATATTAGCAACATATTTAAACATAGGAGTTAAGAGGTTTCTCTTTCCTGCCCCCTTATTTATTTCAATTGCCCAAAGATCCCTGTTTTGTACACTTTTTCCTATGCTGTGTAGTCTCGTTAAATTGGGATAATTAGCCGCTAATTGATGAAACAAAGACGTCAATTCTTCATAATTGTTATATTTTTCTTCTGACAAAAAGCCCTCGTTTAACACAGGAATTGAGACACAAAATTTCACACTCGTCACCACAATTAAAACTATTAAAACCTTCATTTTATTAAACTAAAACAGCAGTTCTATAATTTAGTTGTTTACTGTTTAAATAAAACATGTGTTAATGAAATCACGATGACGTTAATCAACCATGACAGCTGTTTTTGACGTCTGAATCACAGAATAAAAACAAAACATGAACCATAGAAGACCAAACAGACAATAGTTGCGTTCATTTTGAACCATCTAAGAAATTTAATTAAAACAGTCTCACGTACAGGCAAATTTCTAACTTTTGAAAGGATTTAGTAAACGGTAAGGTTCAGGTTGGATAAGGTTTGCTCAATTAATGAACAAATTGCAGTGTTAATAAAAAAAATAAATGTTGCCTTATATGTTGTATTTATAACAAAATTTTTACAAAAAAGGAAAGGATTTACTAAGCTTAAAATAATTTTTATACCTTACCGTACCCAAAAGTATATAATTACATTTTAAAACTACAAAAAAAAAGTAGTAGCAAAAATAAGTACTTAAATATTAATATAAATGTCATGTTCAATTTAATCTAAAATTACGCATTTAAAAGTATTTTATCCTGAGATTTAAAACAATTCTATGCAGCACTAATCAAAAGAGAGCAGATATGACTTATCTTTTAAGATATGGAATGTATAATTCTACGTTATTATTACAAAATGCATCTTATTGTGCACAACACAGTTTAAAATGCAGACTAGTGACTAAAGAGTATTAATAAAGGTAACAATTATTGCTTTAAACATCACATAATTTCAACTTTAAAGTTTGAAAACAAGACTGGATAAACAGTTATTATATATCACATTACCAAATCCAAAGATTATCAACATCTGAATCTGATTTTGCAGTTCCATTGAGTCTTTTCAATTTAAAATTCTGAACTACTGTTTGGCCTTCTGGAACCTCAACATGCACAAGATCAGACAGTCTAAAACTGTAAAAAAGAATGTACTAAAGTTAGTTCCAACAATAACATCGAAGAAACTTTTTTAACTAAAATTCGTTTTATGGACTCAAAATTAGATAATTATTGGGGAAAACTTAACTAATAGCCTTTATTACAGCCGGAAAACTCACCCATTAGCAGTAGCTCTCATTTGGTACTTCCCAGGCAGCAAAAGTCTCCAATATTCTCCCCTATTAGATGTTGTGACATTATGATCAATCCCCTCAACAACAACATCAGCATCCAAGATTGGTTCTCCATCTTCATCTGTAACAACCCCTTTAACACCCCAGTGGACACTCTCAATATATGAAATCAACGGTTCCTTATTCCTCTCCCATTCAGTTGCTAAAGTGCTTGCAGGTGGGAATTTGCAACAACTCAATTCAAATGTAACTTCAAAGCAATTGGAATGTATATAATTAAAATCTTGCATTCCCCCTTAAAAATACAGTTTTTTCACTCTTTAAGTATTCCTTAGAAAATTACCCTTACCATTAACTTCATACCAATAAGCACCATTGGTAATCCCCCTGGCAAAGTGGTCATGAGGACAAGTATTTCCCCTGCGCATCAGGGGGTGCTTTTCAGCGTAAACGAGGGCTAATTTTTTAAAAAGTTCATTGTCAGGAGATTTACTTTCCTTACAACAACGTCTTTTATTTGCTGTACTGAAAAAAAATTAATAGATTAATAACAAAAGAGAATTATTTTTGCCATGTTTAAAGAAACTTACGCTGAATTATCATAGGGATAACTGGCAACAACAGCTCCACCATGTAGATTTCCAGATAACACAAAAGGTCTAGACGTTATCCAGGTCATGAGAGCTACAGTTTCAGGTTGTCTTCCTGATAAAGTTGTTCCTTATGTTACAAAACAAACATAAAATAAAACAAAATGAATTTCAAGATTAATAAATATTTTGAATGTCATTTATAAGTAGTTGATTTACCTGTTTTAGCAACTGGGTCAAACTGATCAGGAAAATCCCTGTTTAGATCCACTCGCCTAACATTTTCTCTCCCAATATAGTTAATTTTTGATTCACAGCGTCCTTCCTACATTATATAACAAGAAATTTAATTACTTAACATTGCTTATAATAATTTGAGAAAAACCTTACTTGAGAATGTTCAAACCCATCAGGATTCATTGAAGGCATTAAAAATATATCTGTGGTATCAACAAGTCTGGTCAATCTTGGATCCTTCCCATAATTATACAATAAATACTGGGCCAAATATATCAACAACTGTCTACCTACAGACTCGTCTCCATGCATGTTAGCAACATATTTAAACATAGGAGTAAGCAAACTACGGTTGGAAGGGTTTTTGTTTATTTCTAATGCCCACAGGTCTCTATCTTCGACACTTTTCCCAATACTATGTAACTTTACCAAATTAGGATATAGAGATTCAAGGTTTTTGAGTAACGAGGTCAATTCCGTGTAATTTTCATACTTAGGATTATCAAGGAAACTTTCATCAACTGTTAAAACAGCACAAGAACTCAGTTGAATAACTAAAACTACACTAATTCCAATTAATAACCACATTTTTCGTAAATCTACTTAAAGAATGAATTAAAGAGAACACTTTACTGCATATTTCACTAAAATTTATTGAGTTTAACAATTCTTTAAACCGTTTAATAACGGAATTTGACGTTTTTGTTTTTGTTTGCACATCTTTTTAATTTTAACTCTGTGACCTTGTGGCCTACTAAACTAAATTATTCCATTCAGCCACTTTTATTAAACTCTAAATATAATTATTAACAAAAAAAAAATACAATCTTCCATGCCTTTTTCATTAGCTAAACTACACAAAATTTAAAAAACCAAATAAAATAATTACTCCAGATTTTTATAAATATTTATTCTGAAAGAAAAACATGAAATTAAATGAAACAGGTATAGCTTTTAATAAATTCCAAAAACGAGAATGTAGCATTTTTTGCAACTGTTTTAACATTTCTTTGCTCCACAATATTGTCAATATACTTTTCGGCTTCTTGCACTTTTTTTATGAAACCTTTAATCAAGATGGGACCTCCTGATGGTAACAGGGGTCGTTTAAAAAGGCCCTTTTTTTGTTTAATTGTGCACGACAGCGAACTTTTGTTCACAGAAACGTCAAGAAATTGAAGTACATTTAAAAGATTAGTTTCTAAATCGGAAATCATATCTTCATAACGAATTAAATACACAGGACCTGTAAAATTTTTTAGCCAATCTGCGTAGAAGTTTTTCCACTCTTTTAATGACTCCTGCAGGAAATTTGTCCATACTATACATGAAAAAATATAGTTTACACTTTTTTATCAAATATGTATATAAGTACCTTCATATGCATTCGAGTACAGCAAAAATGAACTGGCAAATCCCATATGACCGCCATATTTTCGATTAAATTCTGCCTGAATTGCAGGTATGGCGTTTCTAATTAATATTATAGATTTTTTAAACTGTTTTTGAGCTACAGGACCGTATTCGTGCGTTTTTACTACTAATACAGAACTATTAGTTATACCTTCACCAGGAAAACCATTTATTAATAACGTTTGGTCCGTATAAACAGAGCCAGTATAAAAACCTACAATCTTATACATTTAGAATAGTATCAGTAGAAAATACCTTAATTAGATGAACTTTTCTATAAGAGGCATCGGCGAATTAGTATGTGCCACACGGGCGGCCCACATTTGATTCCTTACAGATGCAATAGTTTTTTTATTGTAAATTTTTTATGATAAGTAAAATAAATTAATCGAAAATCGACCACATGCAATTGTACAAGTAAAAAGGGTTTGTAAATTCTAAACAACAAGAAGTAAAATAATTATTTGCCTGTAGCTTGTTGAAGTAAATATCTAAGCCATGTATTACCACTCCCGGGATATGAAACTAAAGCTGTTGGGTCCCTTTTTTCGTTGATATACTTCATTTTTGAACATAAACTTAATTTATCTTTTTTGAAATCAAATGGATCTACTCCCGTATCAAATTCATCTTTAAAATCCAGTTTTACGAAAACTTCATCGTCGACCTAAAATTGTTCCCTGTTTGTTTTAGTTTGTTTAATAATCTGTTACGATCTAAAAAGTATACGTATAATAAGTCCTTGATTAATGTAATAGGCAAAAATATTTTTCACCTGAGCGTATGGTCCATCAAGGCTTGGCTTCATCTTTAATGAAATTATAATCACGCAACTAATAACAACCAAAAGTAATTTAATTAGTATTATAAAATATAAACACCTGATACGTTTAAAAGATTCTTTAAAGAAAAATGAACTTATATTCATCTTTTAGCAGAATTAAAATGATATGTTAAATGCATTCATACAAGATGTCATAAAAAGTAATTTAGTTTACATGTTACTATGGCTTTTTTTAAATCATGTGGGGAATTAAGTATTTCTTTTGATTAATTGTCATGAATTAATAATGAATGGGTCTTTTTATAGATTTAAGAAAATTGACCTTAATATTTTTTCATGCTTTTATTTATTTTGATCCCGCCACATTCAAAATATCTTCCTGTATTGACAGTGACGTAATAGTTTTAGTGTCGCAACATAAAATATTTATAAGGGCAAATTTAATAAATATTTTTGCATAAATAGCTCTTATATGTTTATAGTAAGTCTCAAAAGTAATTTGAACAAAATCGTACATTTATTTTTCGAAAAAACATGAATTTTGTGAAATCATAATGGCGTCGCATTGTTTAGTAACCGAGGTTATAAAAGCTCCTGCAACTTGTGTTTGGAGTGCATTTGATATATGATAGGTGTTACTGCGACAGTTTGAACTAAGAGTTGTTATTTACATGTAAATATGTGAATAATTTGTGTTGTTTGTACACGGAAAAGACCTAACTTTCATAAAGNCTCCTATTTGATACCACTCTCTATCATACATACACAAGACATGTTACGGCATACACAAGCGAACCGTGCTACCGGTCTTTCCGCACTCTTAATAAACATAATTTCCGGACTTTAATTCCATATATGATCCAGTACTTTCGATCTGCTAACTGTTAATTATAACTTTCAATTCTTTGACAAATATCATTTGATTTTTATTTAAATGAACGACGAGCTAAATTATTTATATAATATAATAATTTTGCTATGTTTTTGACAATCATTCAAAAGGGGATCTTTGGTTAATTACAATTTTTTTACATCTATAAATGAAAAACGGGATACTGCTGTTCTGTCATATAATTTTTATATTTATTTACTTACAATAAATCATCACTAAAATAAAGATAAATATGTTTTTTCTCGTTTCTACAAGTAAATGCAAAAATCCATAAAATTTACAGAAACGTAACCATCATTTGCAGTTTTTGTATTTATCTTATTGGTGCCGATAGAAGTAGCACTCACATTTTACTCATTAAGTTAATATCTTTGTTTTGTCTCTGTCTATCTGTTTGTTGTCTACATTTCTCGGCAACAAAATGCGTTTGCAATATTTTCTTTTTTTGGTTTTTCTCTTTGTTTTTTATTTAAAGTTAGAAAAAAACCAAAAATTGAGATAATACAATAGATTAGAACACCGACACTTATACTGTTATTAATATTTTAAATATGATTAATGCAAAAGTATTTGGAAGGACACAATTTTCAATCGACAAGAAGCACAATTTATTACTTTTTAATTTAAAACGTTTATTATAAGATATATTGTGAACAGACCTGGTGATAAATAAGTTTTTAATATTACGAAATGGCTGTATTACCGCCAGATCCTGTATTCTGTTTAAAAAGTGATATGGGATATGTCCATAGCCTCTGTTTTGCTGATAATGAAGAAAATTTTTCAAAAACATTATATGCCGCAACAGAATCTGGTTTTGTGTATGTATGGGACCTCGATGTAAGTCATTAAATTATTTTTAATAAAAATTAGCGGCCAAAATATTCGTAAAGCAAAAATTAAAGAACATGACATTATACTAACCATTAATTTTATATTTGCCGTTTAATTTTAATAATTAACATATTTTTTATTCTGAATGTATTGTTTGCAACAGACGAATCGTCTGAAATGGAAGCAAATGTTAGGGACTTCAATTCAGGTCATACATTCAATAGGAAATGACCTAATAACCCAGGAAAAAATGGGTTCAATTAAAAGATGGGCTGTGAATGAAAGTGAATTCATTTTGGTTCATGAGTATACTTGTTACGGGGGTTACTGTCGTAGCTTGTTAATGCAAAATAATGTACTTGTTATTCCACAAGAACAAAGCAAATTAGAAGCTTTGAGCATAACGAACATGGAAAAAGTACAGACTTTTCTCCCAGAAAACAACAATCTTGGCAATGCCATGTGTTTACAGAAAGTTGAATTAGACAAAACTATTTATATATTAGCAGGTTATGAAACTGGTGATGTTCTCCTATGGAATTTTTCATCAGGGACGTTATGTGGTCATATAAAACTTAGAGAATGCATAACTTCACTAACATTTGACCCCATTACGTGTAGAGGAATTTGTGGGAATTCAACCAATGTTCTTCAAGTATTAAGCGCACATTTAAATACCTAAACTGATGTAGAAACTTATTTTTATTTCTTTCAGGTCTTTACAATAAACAAGTCTTTTCAGATAACACTAAAATGCGAAATAACAGTCAGTAATGAGGGCTGTAATGTAGTCAAAATAAGACCAGATCGTAAAATATTTGTTGCAGGCAGCTGGAATGGTTTTCTTAGGGTTTTTTCATGGAAAAGCCTCAGACCTTTGGCTGTCCTCACAGAACATAAAAAGCCAGTTACAGATGTTCAGTTTTCACCTCTTCCTGTTAAACAGTGGGGTGGAAACATAATGGCAGCAAGCGGAGGGGATGGTATCATCTCCCTCTGGTACTTGTACAATTAATAAATGATGCTAATTCGCTAGCTGTGATTTATTGAATTAAATATTAAGTAATTATTTTTATTTATAAACTTTTACCTATTCAGAACAGGGGGGGACTGTACTTATAATAACGTTTGTAACTGTTTTTTTTTTAAGGAATAAATAGATTCTTAGAAAACAAGCTCTTTTATT